TTCCCAACTCCCTGCAGTCTTCAGAATGGCACTGACCTCATCCCACTCTATTGTGGGTTTTTGCCTTTTGCCAGCAATCAACTTTTGGAACTCTGCCTACTCTAGCTAATCTTGTTGCTGTATATTTTCCTCCCAGCCACATAATGTACGTAGCTGCATGTTTCTGTCCCACAACTGTGGATCATGCACAATTTATTGGTTAGGTTGGAACAGCATCCAAAAATAATCCAGCTGTTCGTGCCCAGGCGGGGTTGCAGTAATCATTGATAATATTCATAAAAATAAGAGTATGTGATGAGTGCACCTACTTACTGTGCTATAAAAAATGACAACCGATTACTAAGTACATTAAATGGAAATAATAAATGAAGTCGCCAACTCAAGTATTGACACCAGGAAAGGAACTGACAATGGATCATGATTAATACTGGCAATAAAGTAGGGTGATTTTTGTGTTATGCATGTGGCTGCATTTTCTTGTGAAGGATAGATAGTTTAGCAGAAGCACAGAGAGAACCAAGAAACCTGATAAGACAGACACCATCCTTGGATTGCCTCCCTGGGACAGTATTTTGGTGCAGTCTGTTTTGGAGGAGGAAGTGTAGGGTTACTCACTTCCCCTTGTCTATGTTGATGTTTGCTAGACACTGTCTATGTTTCATGGCTGCTCTGTCTGCACCCTCTTGTATGGCCACCAGCTGTCTGTTTAATCCAGTCCCGCAAGCAGAGTTAATGAGACATTCCTACTTATGTAACCTGGTGTGATTAGAGCCTCAGATCTTTGCACCTCAGCAGCTGCGCGTTGTCATTGAGATAAATATTTTAACTGCTCTGTCAATTCCCTAGTCCCCGCATAAGTGGCTGAAAGAGAGGCTACTGTTTCACTATGTATTAAAGTGGAACTCAAGTTCTGACAAAACAAAAGCCTAAAAACAACCTATGAGGAGGGGGGAGGGGTGGGATTGTTGTGGCTGGTCAGTGGTTGATGGAATTTAGTTTTCCATAGGGCCTTTCCTGTGCGAGGTATTTCAGAGATTTACAATGTCCTGGTTGCCCGGACACAGGCCAAAGTAGCAGATGACTGAGTTCTCAACAATATCGCGTGCACAGCCCTTGGCTTTACAGTTACAATCATCGGTGAAGTGTCAGTGTGCTTAGTGCTGTACAAAATGCAAAAATGACCCTGGTCTTGAGCTCATGTGTGAAATAGGATCCCATCTTATTTTTCACAGAGAAAATATTAGTCCGCTGGGAGAGCTGGCCAGTGACTGGACCAGGAGACTCTCATCAAGATTCCTGGTTGTCTCCTTGCCACTGTCCCCCTTAACCAATGTGGACCAGTCACTTAATCTCTGTGTATGCCTCAGTTTCCCTCAGAGACAACAACTGAGAACAGGGCCCTGCTGTGTTAGATGCTGTACAGGTGTGTACCGAGAGACAGACCCTGCCCTGAAGATGTGACAATCTAAATAGATAAGACAGACAACGGGTGGAAGGGCAGAGAGAAGCCCGTAGTGGGGAAGTGACTTGCCTAAGGTCGTACAGCAGGTCAGCAGCAGAGCGGGGTATAGAACTCAGAGGCACTGGACTGGGATTCAGGAGGCCTATCCATTAAATCATGTTTCCTTGGGGTGTCTTCAGGATTGATTGATGAGTTTGTAAAGTGCTTTAAGATCCCTTTAATGATGCTCTGTAGAGAACCGCAGGATCTTACGTGATTTGAAAAAATTGGCTTACGGCCACTTAAAGTCCCTACTGTGGTGATGGGTTAATATTTTCAAAAATGCTAAGGACTCTTGACATTCACTGGTATGTCCACCAGTGAGAGGCAGAAGGGAATTCTGTTTGTTTAGCCAAAGGATGATAAATCTTGTCCCCCGTTTATGAGAGGGAAAATGTTACAGACCTAGGACCAGCCCTATGCATGGTGCTGCAGTCATACAAGAAGTCCAGGTCCCCAGTGCAAACAGCTTAATACAAAACACGGATGAAGGATGGGGGAGAAAGATTGCATTGGGAAAGCAACATGACTGACCAGGCTGCCTGTGTGTTCCAAGGCTTTGATTTAACATTGAATGTGAGCTAAATTTTTAGGGTTATGAGGCAAGGCATGATAGAATTGGGGGAGAGAGGCTTGAATTCTCAAGAGGTTAAGGGAGTTAGGAGTCTGGGTGTTGGGCACCTAACTTCATTAGGCACCTTTGAAAATCCCAGCAAGAATGCATAATGGAGGAAGCGCATTTAGACGACAGATTTGGAAGAGCTTGATCAGGGAGCCATTTGTAGGCATGGGGAATCATTGCTAAATCTAGCACTGAGTTGGGGGAGAGGGGCAGAGGTAAAGGGCATTGGAAGACCCATTAACTTGGCATAACGTAGATTTAGACCCTGATGGGGAGGACCCAAATCCAAGGTGAGAATGAGTCGTTTGACTTGGTGCAAATCGGCTCACTTGGGTGCACCTTGTGGTGGTCTCCAGAAGGGCATGTGATCAGGGAAGGTTGTGTTACCTGCAGTGTGGCAGGCAGAGGGATCTGTCTGAGCTGGTCTTGTTTTTGAAGGCAGTTTCGCCTTCTGTAGTATGGGTCAAGAAAATGCTTGTCAATCCTGCTTCTGAGATGAGGCAAGTTTGTTATAACTGTGTTGTTCTGAACCCACTTAAGAAACAATAAAAACCAAACCAACATCAGCTAACAGATTATTTTCCAGTGTAGACTGGGCTTCATAACACAGAGCACACACACATACCCTCTACTGCGTGGCTATGGTAGTGTGTGGTTGACTCAACATACATTTTGTGTGTGCGTGTAACATTAAAGTCAGGAATTAATCATTTTTCTAAAACCGACTAGCCGTGAGATTTCCATGCATTTCTCCCCTCCCCGCAGCATTTTGTTTGGAATTTGCTCTGACTCAGGTGGGGGGTTTCTAAAGGTCAGTCTGATAACATATCACAAGCGCACAGTGTGCTTGTGCATCAAAAATTTCTCAAAAGAGATTACAAATTGGTAGCACAGCGTAGCGAATTTCCGGGCTTTCTGCACCATCACAATGAGCTCTGCCCCCTTGCATCTAAAAACTAGGTCACTGCCATAGACTAGGAATCCCTTTCAAACTAAATGTGTAATTATATCCCTAGAAGTCTTTGCTTACTGTCACATTCCAGCAGCCTATATTAAAAAAAAAAAAAAAAAAAAAAAGCGTCAAGCCTAATCTTAAATATTCTGGGCCAGATCCTCAGCTGGTGTAAATTGGTGTAGCTCGACTCATGACAAGTTGATTGGTTCTTCTCTTTGACAGTTGGGGTTGCGTGGTTTGTTAACAAGGACGCATGGCTATTGTTTCTGTTCCTCGAACGAATGATTGAAAAATGCATTTCCCCCTGTCAGTTTTTGGATGACACTTCCAGAGGTTTCATATGTGTGTCTGTGTGTATAAATATAATGTCTGAACACTCACCAGTGCCAGATTCTGTCTTGAACTAGAGCTTGTCAACAAACTTCTGCCAAAACTCTGTGTGAGGGGAAATGGCTTTTTCCTCCCCTAAGTGAAAATGTTTGCAAAAAAAAAATTCATTCAAAACTTTGATTTTGTTTTGACAAAAACACTGAAAAATGTTCAGTTTTTGTAAACCAAGCCCTACCCTCCCCCCCCCCAAAAAAAACCCCCCCAGATGTGCCATCTTCAGATTTTGGGTTTTTTGATTGGGCGGGGGGAGGAGGAATTGAACAGGAGGTTTCAAAAGACTCTCCTCCCTTCATCTTTCTTTTTTCAAAATTTTTCATAAGAAACAACTAGTGCTTTTTTTTTTTTTTAACGAGCTACCAACATGGGTTACCCAGACCTTGGATCTAGAGGCATAAGGGTAAGAAAGTGTTGCATGCCTCCATACTGCCTCCCAGGAGCAGGTGGGTGGGAATGGTTAGGGCCAAGGTTCTTCCTTTCAACCCACTTGCTGGTCATCACAGTTGAGCTGGTGCAGAGAGTCTGGTAATTTATTATTGATTTAGGCCGGGAGCAGCAAATTAATATGCACATAATGAAGCAAGAGGGAATAGCGACTCAAAGTCTGAGTCGTCATGTCTCCTGGGTTACTGCAGCTGAGGGTAGAACCCTTCCTCAGGGTTCTACCTAAAGACACAGGGTAGCCCACATGACCATGGGTCATATCAAATAATATGACCCATTAGTCTCGTCAAACCAGACTAGGCACTTTTATTTTTAATGGAAAAATGTTCATATTTTTTTTCCTATTTCATCAGCTCTAGTCAATGACTTGCTGCTTGCCAGCTCAAAAGGACAAGAGAAAACAAACAAAAACCCTCTATGCCTCTAACTGAAATCTGTCCTTTAATAGATAATCATTAAAACCCTATCCAGCTTCTGGGAAATGAGTTTTCGTCTGTAGATTTCTAGGGTTCGTCAAATATTTGAATGTGTTGAAGTTTGACCCCTCTCCCCCAGTAAAGGGAAATATAACCCCATTTTTAAGACAGAGCCAATAAATGTGAAGGCTAGAAATGATCATTACGGTCATGTAGTCTGCCAAAGATTTCTGCATCTAGCCCAAAACTTGGGGTTGAACCTTTCTTTTAGAAAAACATCTAGTATTGATTGAAAGACTTCACATGATGGCAAATTTCCCACCTCCCTTGGTAACCTGTTGTAATCGTCAATTACATGTGCTGTTTAAAAATGAGCATCTCACTACCACAGAAATACCTAGATAGATCCACAAAAATAGAAAAAGAAATACATAATAAAGGCTATTTGACATTCAGAAACTTTCAGACCATTCTTTTTACAGTACAAAAATTTTATTTTTTTTTGTTAGGATAATTTAAAGTTTAAAACTGAAGTAGACATATTCATTTTACAAACAAGATATTCTTCAATAAGTAGGACCATTAAAAACAGTAAACAAAAAAAAGCTATCTTTACAAAAAGCTCTGTGCATAGCAACTTCATACCGTATATAATAACTGACAAAGCAAAAAAAATACAAAATAAATGAACTATACAATTGGGAGAAATTATTTTACAAAAGGGAGAGAACGGTCTTTTAAAACCATGCATATTGAAAATGTGCAAAGAAATAGGGAGAATAAAGATGCTATAACAAGATAAATAATGAAATAAAACATTACTCTTTCAAAGTTATGATAAAATTTGTAACTACCTATCGCAACACTTGTCTTTCTAGTGTCAAAAAGGAAACTTGGTAGAGAATTCTTAAACAGCAATGACTAAAAAAAGGACTGATTAGTTTTTTCCTTTTTTAAAAAAAAAAAATCCTTACACACAAATTTACACATTAATTTTTTTTACTTTTTGCCACTGCCAAAGTCCTTGTTTCGTGATCAAGGATTTCTGGTTGTTTTTATTTACACATGTTTTTCCACGTAAAGCTGCCAACAAGTTGAACAAGATGCTTTCTATGCATGAGCAAAATTCATATTCTAAATCATGGCTATGTTAATTTCATTACTTTTGGTCAGCTCAAGTCAAGCTAAGACGTCCTTTTTGTTCACTCTGTGGGCAGCTACATTCATATTTCTCTTTCTCTAGGTACTTGAGAGAGTCTTCTAGGTGGGTTTTCTTTAGGTCTAAATTGTACTCCTGACTTTCCAAGTAGAGGGTGACTAGCAAATAGAGTTAATCAAAATACCTTTTTTTTTTAAAATGCCACAGGAATTTTGAAAATTTTAGAAGCGTTTGTTTTAATGGTCTGATTTTCTTTTTCTCTTTTCAAAACTGGCAGGATTTTTTTCAATATATCTAAGATGACCAATCAAAAAAGCACAGTTTGAACAATTAGCAGGCTAGTATTTTCATGAAATGTTTCCAATGAAAAGTTTTGAGCAATAGATGAAATTATTTAATTAAAAAATTTCAGTAGCTCTAACTAGCAAGCAGCTGCTTCCCAACATATGGTCTAGAAATCCATATCCAGGATTTTCTTTGTGCACAGAAGTTCTAAGACTGACTCCATCTCCTTTTGACAGCAGAGATACCAGTATTTGAAGGTAACCAATGGGAATCATTGGAGAGGCGAAAACAGGGACACACATCTTTATGCACTTCATGGAGCAAATGGACTGCTTCAGTGGCAAAGAATGGAAAACATGAGATGCTTCAGCATTTATGGGAGAGGCCCAGAATGACAGGTGGACAGTGAGGGGTGAAAAATACCCCAGTGAGTTTCGTCCATCTCTTGGCAACGTAGGGCCTGATTCACTGAAGTCAATGGGAGTCTTGATTCCAGTTCTTATAGCTCTCAATGCAAATTTTCTGTATAGACAAGGGAGCCTCAAACATCAATTTGTGGCCTTCTAGTCTCATTATGATACTGAGATCTCTGAGTATATAAAAAATATTAGATTATTTGTGCTATATAACAGTCATCAGGTTAGTCAGATTGAGGGTGAATCTCGGTGAATTTATAATAGTACAGACTTTCATTCAAGACTCCTTACCACGTAAGGTCCTTTCACCTTCTTCTGCAGATCATTTGATTTCAAGAAGAGTCACCCGTTCACTCCCAGATGGTGCTAAGGGCGCACAAAGGATCTGCAGAGGCATTAATTCTCACAAACACAGTTAATGGTAAGTTTTATCTTATTTTACCTTCTCTGGAATTCAGACGTTTTATCTAGTCTAACTAGAAGACTTTGGTTCACTCCATATTCATGATTCTGCTCCTGGAACACCAAATATCCCCAACCAATTCTCCTCTGCAGGGTACACTTAATTGCCACTTATGCTGCTCTTTAAATTGGGGTGTTGATTTTAAAAGCAAATAAAACCCTTTTCAAAGTGGATTTCATGCCAGTGAAAAAAAGCACCTAATTGATCATCTATCAAACAGCCACAGCATGGTCAGTAGCAACACAAGCGTCTCCCTTGCCTGCCTCACAGTTATATCCCACTGGGATCATTTGAGTTTCCTTGGCTTCTCTGCTGAGCTGGGAGCTGATTAAGAGCCAGATCCTGCAAACAGGCAGATTGAGTAAAATTTCTCACATAAGCCCTGATCCTGCACTACACGCCATGAAGACAGAGCCTCGAGCGGGATCAACTCTGGTGCAGTGCAATGCAGGATCAGAACTGTAACTAATCCATCCCATTGACTCCATTGGGATTGTTTACATAAGTTAAGTTACCCAGGTGTCTGCTTGTAAGGCTATGGTCCTATGATGCTGGTTCTTGAGATGGAAACACCTGTCCACTAGAGACTAGACGAAGATCTGTGAAGTTAGGGGACACAGCATCTTTCAGTCACAAATAACCTGGGCTAGATTTGAGGCTTTATAGCCTATTACTAATCCACTCCCAACATAGAAATGCACATTAGCTCAGCACTGCCAAAGTGTCATGAATGTTGACTCACTCCGCTTCTACCATATTAAATGATCACAGAATAAACTAATAATTTACTCACCCATCAAACACAATGACTCTCCTTGGCGAATGGGCAAATCGAATTTTGGGTGTTGCTTTATCTTAAGGGTGCATTTGTAAATAGTTAAATACATTCTTAATAGATGTAATAAGAATGTTCCAACCATACCTAGTGTATGTTAAAGACACTCCTAAGGAGAGCTGGTTGAAAACTTTTCGATGAAAAATGGCTTTTCAACTAAATGGCAATTTTCTTGATTGTTTTTTCATTTTTCATCAGGAAACCAAAAAATTCTCATTGGTGTGGCTTTTTCCCCTCCCCTTGTGTTTCCTTCTTTTTTCCATTTGCAAACAGAAAATGGAAAACGAAACAAGTAAAATGTTTCTTTCTTCGTTGAAATGCTGAAAATTTTGACCCAAACAAATCTGGTGGGTTTTTTCCCATTAAAAATACTTAGCGTTGTTTGACTACAACTAGCTCTAGTTATAAGAACATCAGTGGAAGATGGCATAAATAACCTATTGGCTTGCACAACAATTGAATGACCCTTTACTGAAACGTATTACTCATTAAATACATTAAAGATGAAGAAGCATTTTCCAATTTACTGATGAAAAGTGCTATAACAGAGTTAGGTGGTATTATTCATTGTTGTTATTATGTAACCCTTTATGACTGCACCCTTAATATAAAATGTAATCCTATTTTGTAAGTCTGCCATAACTTCGTGGAAAACAATCATTTAGAGAACCTTTCCGATCCCCCTCCTGTTCATGTGAAAATTTGAAAAATAAACTCCTCATCACATGAAAACCTGATTTGTTCAAACACTTAGAAGCCATTCATTTACCAATAGGGTCTTTGAAACTAACCACCTTACCCCAGTACCTGAAAATCTTAAGTGAAGCAAAAGATGGAGAAGGAGGGAAAAGATGTTGATAAAATTCTTACATTAACTACTGGCTTATATATATACTGCAATGCGTATAAAAGTTTGTGATGCGTTAATCAGAAAGAACCCTACACATCCTTGCACATGGCTCAACAGGGGGCGAGGGAGAGAAGAGAAGAGCAACGGCAGCAATAAGAGTAAGTCTCTTAAACTTGTCACTACGTTTTTGCATCTTTTTTTTCTTCATTGTACAACAGGAGGAAAAAGTCCAAAAAAGGTCTTAATTGCTACCTCTACATACAATAAGTTACAAGTTTATTTAAATAATTGTAAAACATCTTACTTTTTTTTTAAAAGAGGTTAAACTATAAGTAAACACACACATACACCAAAAGTTCCATCATTCATGTCAGTTTGTCCTAGAAATTCTTCCATGCTGGTACCCTGTTTTGTTGTTTGTTTGTTTCTGCATAAACTAAATTGGTATCTGAAAGGCTCCATAGAAAATAGAAACTTCAACTTTTTTTCCCCTACAAAGTAAAACAAATAGTATCCAAAATATCAAGCTTGAATCCTTTGCCAACTTTTTTTTCCCTTTTCGTATTTTACAAACGTTAGGAAGGTTTCATGTCCGTCAAAAAAGACCTTGCGTTTCTGACCCCATCGTGCCAACCGCTGTCCATCCTGGCTCTTGGCTGATCCTTTGTTTGCAATGTTTTAGGAGTTGACATGGCTACATAGGAAACGTGGAACGCATAAAAGATCCAGACTCCTGTCTTGTCCGATTTGTAGCAGTTGTTCCTTTTATTTTTTCCGGGCGTGGCTTTCCCCCAAAAAAGAGCTTGTAGTGCTTTTTTCTTTTTTTAAGTGGTCCATCACAATAAGTAGTTTTGTGCTGTAAAAGAAAAATGAAAAACAAAAGAAAAAAAAAAGCAAAATGTCCTCTTCTTTTACATCGGGGGAACGACAAGACCAGTCATGGCTGAAAATGAAGATTGACAAGGTTGAAACTTTGGCGGCTCTTTTATGAATGCAGAATTGTGAGCCACGCCTTAATAGAGAAATTGACAGGTGAGCCACTTCCTCTCCCACCAGTGATCAAATATCCCCATGGCAACTATCTGTGGAAAAGTAATACTAGTCAAGTTTATTAGTCATAGAGTTTAAGGCCAGGAGGGACCACCAGATCATCTCATCTGACCTCCTGTGTATCACAGGCCGCCAACCCCACCCAGCACCCGCACAGTAAACCCAACAACTGAAATTAGACCAAAGTATTACAGCCCACAGGCGACTAAACTATTATGTGTTATAGGCAGAGAATAGGAGGGACTGAGGTGCACCAGTGCCCAGGGCCCGCATTGACCCTTCAGCTTCTTTTAGTGCCAGTTAGCAGCCTGAAAAGAGGCGTGAGCATCATGTGACCCAACCCGCTTGTCACAAGCAGTGAATGAACCACTCCTTGAGAATAAACTCCTCCAAAACTTCTTGCCTTCTGATGCTGTTTGTTGGCTAAATGAAGTGAGTTGGTGGCTTCAAAATGGTGCCCAGCTTGAGATGCCTTCAAATGGCCTGATGTTCATAGGGTGGGTGCTCGGCCCTCCCTGAACTTAAGCTGTGACTGGGCAGTGGTAACATGGAATCAAATGGGAGCTGTGCACCTGAAGCACCTACAGGATCTGGGCCCAGGGCTGCCTTTCCCCTTCCATCTGAGAGTGACCAGAACTAGATTTTGTCCATTTAGCTTCAGCAGAAATTATCCACCAGCCTCTCTTTCTCTTGGTTTATCCCCTTTGTCTGAATCGCTGTAGTTTACCGGGCACGTTCGCAGAACGCTGGACACAGGTAAACTATTTACTAGTCACTCTCACTGGCTTTAATTGAAGCTGTGTCTTTCCTAACAGACAACCAGAGCATTTTAAGCTGCCAGGAACTGGTACTGTTCCCAAAGGCTTCGTTGGGTAAGTTTTTTTGTTTGTTTGTTTATATATATTTAAAACAAAAGCTAGGGGTCATGTTTTCAAAAGGGCCTTGTTTCAGTGTAAAGCCCTAATTCTACAAAGATGTATGCCCATTGAAATCAGTCAGATTATTCATGTACTTAAAGTCCTGTCTTTGCAGAGCCTTGAATTTCACCCTTATGTTTGTGTTAAAATAAATTGCAGGAATAGGGTAAGAACTTCAAATGGCATAACTCCATTTACTTTAGTGGAACTTCATTGATTTTAAGCAACTGGAGATCCGGCCCACAATTGGGATTATATGTAAATTATATATAATTATATAAGCATTATATGTAAATAAATGTTTTTGTGCTCAGAAAGGATGATGAGGAATAAAGCTACCCTGCAATTTTAGGGCACAGAGACAGAAAGAGAGAGTGAAACTGACCAGTCTAGATTAATTGTTGCTGCTGAGTGAAATCTTTCTTTAAAAAAAAAAAAAAAATTGGCTAAGAATTCCCTGTGTGCAGTGCTGTTGTAGCCATCTTGGTCCCAGGATATTAATGAGACAAGGTGGGTGAGGTGATACCTTTTACTGGACCAACTTCTGTTGGTAAGAGAGACACGCTTTCTAGCTACACAGCATTCTTCTGGTCTGGGAGAGGTACTCTGGGTATGTCTACACTTAAACCATGACAATGATGCTATAACTGCACCGCTGTAGCGCTTAAGGGCTTGTCTACGCAGCTCAGCTCCACCACCGCAGCCGTAGCGCTTCAGTGTAGACCCTACTCATGCCAATGGGAGGGGATCTCCTGTCAGTGCAGGTAATCCACCTCCCTGACCTCGCGCTCTCTACGTTGGGAGTTCGGTCAATTTAACTACATTGCTCAGGCATGTGAATTTTTCACATCCTTGAGCAAGGTAGCTATGCTTGCTGTAAATTCCTAGTGTCGACCAGCCCTCAGTGTGTCACAGCTAAATACAAGGTGGAACAGTTTGGTTAGCATAAGCAATTAACAAACATTCTAAGAGACCATTCAAGGTGAAATAGCCTGTTAACACCGCTGTGGTCATAGGACCAAAAAACCGGGGGGATAGTGGGTTATAGATTGTTGTAATAAGCCATAAATCCAGCGTCTTTACAAGACGCTAAAAATAGTCTGAATAAAGTTATGAATTTATGGTCCCAGGCTCGCGCTCTCTTTTTTTTTTGGAAGGTGTTGTGTAGGTTTCCTTTGAGGACGAGGACTTGAGAGGTCACATGTGGAGCGATCATTTTGTGAAAAGTGTTCACTCATGGGCGATAGGGTGTTTTTGCCTTTCCATCATTTTTCTGAGAGTTCACATAAGAGGGTCGTGATTGTCTGGTTTCACCCACGTAGCTGTGACTGGGGCATTTAGTGCAACAGATGTGGTCCTCCACATATTGTGATATGCATCTGGGGTGACCAGATGTCCCGATTTTTATATGGACAGGCCCGATTTTTCATTTTTTTTTCTTATACTTGCTAAACTAATGTAAGAGTGGCCGTGGACAAAGCTTTGCTGGTTTAATTAAATCAGTTTAACATTTAAACTGACACAACTTTGGGTGTGAACCAGGCCCTGGATTCTTTTTAAGGTGGGAGAGTTGTCAGAATAATTATATTGACAAAATTCATTATTGCTTTAATTTAAAAAAAAGAGGCCGTACAGTCCAGAGCATTGGGCTAATATTTTTACTGATACAAAGGGCAGCGATATCAATTCAACTCATTTCTCCTAGTGCTGGGCAGAGCTCTAATCACCCCTGACGCTTCCATCTGAATATTGCACCTCCAGCTGTTCCTGTGGCAATGAGTAAGTAGATTTTAAGAATATTTTCTCTCCACACACCCCACGTGCACACACTTCTTTTCACAGCTCAAGTAAACAGCTTGGATCTGCTGCTTTCTCCTCTGCCCCACCCTCTTCCCCCCACTTCCCTTTGGGGCTGTGTTGTCAAAAGCCTATTTCCCAGCCTGTACCGCTTTTTATTGAATGTTTGCGAGGTTTGGATTAAGGTCTTACACTGCTAGCAAAGCTGTAATTATTTTTGCCTGTATTACTATATATTGAATCGATGTAACTTTTCAATAAAGGTGGTTCAATGCAGGACACTCCCTGATGGGTTGGGAATATAGAAAGCAGAGTCATTATCCCAGAGGGTTTTTTTTTTCTTGGAGGGAAATGGAAAAAGAATTAGAGATGAGCCTTATTGTATTAGCCTTCACAGCTTGCAATTATCAACTGAAACACTTGATTAAAATTGTCACAAAGTTGGAGAATTTTATTTATTTATATCTATATCAAGCACCAAGAATACCCAGATGCTATGGTGATAGGCTTCTTCAGTGTGTGTAATTTAATAGTAACAATAGACACTACACAGCAATGGACCCTTTACATTTCTCCCTGCCTTGTAGGGAAAAGAACTCAGTGTTACTCATGGAACTCACCTAGCAGGCTAGGAAGAATTTTAAAGAGGTAGGGTGTTTATAGTAATGTAACCTCACATGGAGTGAACCAGATTTTCAAAAACAACTCGTGATTTTTAGATGGCCAACTTGAAACCCATTTAAAGGGGCAGGTGCTCAGCCCTTTCTGAAAAACTGACCCCCTGTAAGGTATAGCAAGTTAGGCACCCACAATGTCTCGACATCTGAAAGTAAGTGTGTGTGTAGCCATGTGTACAGAGACCCCATTTTATGGGCATGGTATTTCAGAAGCGCTAAGCACTCAGTTAACTCAATGAGAGTTATCAGTGCTCATCACCTATAAAAATCAGAGGCAAGGGGCGTGTGTGGGATGCTGTTGGGTAGGGGCAGGTAGGTGGAGGACAAAGAGAGGCTGGGGACCTTGACAGGTTGCCCAGGCAACTTTAATTCTGGTAGTCTTAATTTTTGGGTGCTTGGTTGTGCAACTTTAACATTCTTTCAGCATAGTTTCTTGGATGTAATATGCACATTTACTCTTATTTAAATATGAAACACTTCTTTTTACACCCCTGCCCCAGCTTTTTTGCAGTTACCATGGTAACGTTTTGACAAGGCTGTCTGGCCAATGTAAGAAGCTTGACCTAAGCAGTCCAAAGTCTAACAAATTCTTAGATATCTCCCCTTTCTCTTTACTAACACCCTACACCACTACCTCTTTGTTGCACTCTAGCAAAGGCCTGGTCTTTCACTTATCCCCAAACCTGAGGGTTATATTATATTTTCTTTTGAATCCTAACTATGAAACCAGAAAAGCTGTAATTGAAATATGATTAGGGTTGATATTTTTCAAAGATCTCTTGAATTAGAATTAAACAAATGTGGTGACAATGAAGTTGCTGGTTTGGGGAAAGAAGTCCAACATGATTGTCAAATTAAAATGTGTCTGGCTTAATTATTGAAAGAAAAATGGAATTGATTTTTGCAATTATGCTTAGATTCGCCTGGAACAAGTAGATATGCATCGTCAGTTGCCTTTTCCATCATGTTGCTTTGTGGGAGCGAGAGGAAGGTAGCTTCCATTTCAACAGCGGATGGCTATTCAGAGTGGCAAGCTACAGCACTTCCCCAAGGAAGACTAAGAATTCAAGTAAGTTGTTGGCTTACATGCTGATAAGAGGGTTTAACCCTAAAACTATTGGGCCTTATTTTTGTGGGCAGACCACAGTTCCAGCTGATGTCAATGGGAGCTGCAGCATCTCTGAAAATGACGCCCATTGGCTCTTAATAGACCTGGCTGAAATTTTTCATTCAAAACTTTTTTTAAGGCAATTTTCAGGGTTTTTGTGTGTAAGATTTTTCCAGTTTTTCATCTCGACCAAATATTTTGAGGGTTTTTTGTTTTTCCTTTTTGTGTCATAGAATGAAAGCTGTCTAGGGTTTTACTTGTTCAAAACACCTTCAACTTTGCCAAAGAAACTGAAATGCTGTTGCCCTGTAACTGGCATTCGAATGCAGCTCCTAATCCTCTGCTGTAACAAAAGGACGAGCGTAGCCTCTCACTTGCATAGGGTAAAAGTTGT